CCAGTTTCGGTTGTACCGATTAAAGTCCAAATATCATGTCAAGTCCAGTAGAGCATCTTAACATATTTAACAACTATTTTTATCAGTCTGAGCATAGTACTTAGTAATTGTTTATATTATATTTCAGTTTGATCAGGCTTCAGATATCAGCACTGCCTTTTCATTTCAAAGGATAAGGTGGGGACTCAGACTGGGTATTACATTGACTATAATTACAGCTATCATGTTTGAGGTATGTATCATGTTATGTATCCACTTAGAATGGTGGCCAGTCCAGGTGCCGTAAGTCCATTATGAGTTATAGTGGCCTTAGTCTCCCCACTAGAGTGTGCACATGGTGTCCGACATTTATGCTGGCAGATGTTCAAGTATCAGGCAGGTGATGATTATCACGACATCAGTATCAGATCATGATTATTCAGTACCGGTTTCAGTTCAGTTCAGTTCAGTTATATATGCCAGGATCATGATATTGTAATTATTTTCACTGTTTACTTTAGTATGAGTTTCTGCGGAGCACAGTGGATTAGTGCTCATGCCCCCACATTATTCATGTTTTTCAGGTAACAGGGTCGGAGCCGAGGAGTGAGTTGGCGATCAGTTCAGGAATTTTTTATATATGTTTAAACATGTTTTGGCTACACTATGTTTTCCGCTGACTACTTCAGTTTGTCAAATCAGCTTTTGATCCGACTCCAGTCGGTTACTATGTTATATTACCATTTTGTTGTTAAACTAAAATAACGGTTTTTCAGGTCAAGTCATGTTTTATGGTAGCAGTCCGAATCAGTATTTCGCAACTTAAATGTTTTTATTTTAAAAAACTTTGCGAAAAACGCACTCTGATTTTCATGAAGTAGCGGGGTGTTACACCGACACTTGGGTATTATCATGTTGGGGTCTTTTCTAGTTGTTCGAGTTGTTGTTTAGTTTACTTTGGAGTTTTTATTCTAGCGTTGCTAGTCGGGATTCTATGCGGTTTTTTGACCTGTCCTCCCACTTTTCAGCTGTTGGCTGCTTGTATTCGCTCATTTGTGTGCTTTTGATTTATAATAATATCTATCGTTTTGGAAAAAAATAACTAATGGTAAGTACGATACTTAAAAAAGTGAGATTGGTCTTCAGTTTGATAAACTTTTGGAACTTTATGTCTTCTAGTTTTGAAAAACGTGTTCTAAAATTATGTTGCTGGATTTTTAGATTTGCTTTTGTTTGACTGAGTTGTAATGGGATAATGTGCTCTTTTATCTTGGATTTTATTTTGTTTGACTGAGTTATAATTGGATAATGTGTTATTTTGTCTTCGATTCCATTTGGTCGATTGAGTTGTACTGGAATAATGTGTTATTTTTTCTTGGATTTGCATAATGACTTGGATGATGGCAGTTTGAATTAAAAATGATAATTTCACTGACTTGGAATAAAACCTTGTTACAAGTGTTGCAATTTGCTATTTTTGGCTACCTAAGAGTGATGTGCATAAAATACGACCACTGGAAGCAGAACAAAGACTCTTATTATTACAATGGAATTTTTGTTGTCATTTTTCAAAGCAATTAATTGTTTCTCCATCATTATTCTCTCGTTGTTGGTTTTTGTCAACCTGCTTCCAGTTTTCTCTCTCTTATCATAAGTTCGTTGAGCTCATCCTCAAGCTTGTTCATTTTTATAGCAGTCTTGATATTATTTATTTGGAACGAACACACATTTCTAGATTCATCCACATGTAAAATGAGCAATATTCATTTCTTTGCAAGAGACAAAAATAAAATTAAATATAATATTTGGTAAAAATATGAGAAATTAATCCTTATATTTTGGGCATGCAATATCTTCTGTTGAAAATATTTTTGGTGATCTTTAACCGGAGCTCTTCACCATAAAAACAACAACATTTTTGGCATGAAATATTATTATAGCAAGAGTTGTTGATTGAACTAGAAGAGGCACCATGCCCTTTCATTTCTTCATTTTTTTTTATATATTTTTTGCACGACGAAAAAAGAAAGAAATGTGAAGAAAAAAGAAGGAAGTAAAAAACAGTGCAAAAAATAATTGTATTCACTGGCAAAATAAATGTAGGGCATACACAAAAAAATCAAAGTTCATTTCCCTCTAATTTTAGCTCCATTAACTACTAACGAGCACTTGATGGTCGGGTACTAACAAGCATAGTCTTAATTTTTGGTAAGGCTTCTGTTCAGCAAGCCAGGCAGTTAAGAAGAATTTTGAGTGAGTATGAATTTTGTTCTGGGCACATGGTGAATTTGCAAAAGTCTGTTGTTTTCTTTTCAAAAGTTTCTGATGGTCCTTTTACAGTAGGTGTCTGCCAAGTCCTCTGAGTGTTACCTCTGCCATATATCTTGGTCTGCCTTTCAGAATGGGGATATCAGTGAGAGATAGAGACTTTTAGATATGTGAGTGAGAGTGTGGTCAAAAGAATTAGTTCCTAGAAAAATAGTTCCTTGAGTGAGGCAGGACGGGAGATTCTCTTAAAAATAGTCTTGAATTCCCTTCCAATGTATGTAATGGCATGCTTCGAACTACCTATTGTTGTGTGCCTTGACATCTGTAAAGCCATGGCCTCTTTTTTGTGGGGGTAAAAGTGAGAGTGGTGGGAATATGGTGCACTGGGCTATCGGACTAGATTGGTTAAGGGAAAAGAGAAAGGGGGGCTAGGGTTTAGAGGTTTGGAGGCTTTTAATGAGGCTCTCATGGTTAAACAACTCCGAAGAATCCTTATTCAACCTAATTTGTTGGTAAGTAAACTTCTTAAAAGTAGATATTTTTATTAGACCAGTTTGTTTGAAGTAAAAAAA